CAAGGACAGATATACACACACACCTTCGATAGAAGATTTTCAAACTTAGGAAAATTACTGCCGCCCGCTACCTACTGCCAGTTTTATAAGTGAGAAACCATTCAATTTGATCAAACCTTTATTGACCTGCAAAACGTCACGAAATGTTTATAGACCGTCAATTCCGTACACAGGAATTATGTTTGTATGCGGACGGCAGATCAACATGAGAAGTTAGTGCTTGCGCTTAAGACTATAAGGCCTCGATTTACTCACTATATGTCTCGTTGGAGGTGTGGCCAGTTATTCTTGAGTTGGTAAAGTCTAAGTCAAGACATAAACTGGCATTGTTGGCCTTAATTGTTCTGGAGCGTTAAGCGCTCGTTATTATGTAACCACCAGCGAAAACCCTAAAGCGAACCTCAAGGCAAAAGTGAATGCTCATTTTTCGCACCGTAATTGGCGGTGAAGTAGACGAAGTATTCGTCCAGCCCGACGCTGTCAAGTGTATCCGAAGGTGGACGCATCAAAAATTGTCATGCCGAGATAGCGTACATCTACAAAAATTTCTTAATCCCTCAGAAACCACCCCAAACCTGTCGACTAAGCGTGAACGACCGTCCACTTGGGTCGAAGGACTTCAGATGCGGCTCAGGGGAAGTTGAGCTATCAAAGCCATCGCACTAAATATGAAAATGGATGAGCAGACACTGCTGATAGAAAAAGTAGGGAAAATACGAAACAACATCTGCCGGGTACAGAGGAGACGTAGAGGCGATTGTACACGGGGGAAGGGACTAGGCATGTCTGCCAAGAGGGATTATATGCATATAAGGATACTACGGCTACGTGGATAGGTAATTGAATCTGAAAACACTCACATGGATCACATTCGCCTCCGAGCTCGAAGTAATGGCTCGTGTAACGGGCGCTACCACCGGACTTTCTGCCCACCACGCACCGGCCAAACACACGCATCGGCAGCTTCTGCAGATCATTTAACTCCAAAGTACTGCCTTCCTGACGGGCTGACGTCGCAACTCCAGCAAGAGGAACAGGTTTACCATAAGAGGAGATGAACTCCCACCCATAAAGAAAGTCGCTATGGATCTCGGGTTCACCTAAGTCAAAAGTAAAGGCAACAGGTAATAAAAGACAATGCTGCATACGGAACTCTGCAAAGGATCCGGTAGAATTATACATATTTGGAGCGGACTTACCTTCGACAAGGCAGTGTAAAACGGCACTGCTTCCCTCTTCAAACAGCAGGTTACCGCAGGGGCTAAGGCCACGTACAATAGGCGTGATTGGCCAGTACTCAGGCGCCACTGGGCGAGCATCTGTAAACCAGTAAATAAGGTTTTTTTAATAGTATTTGATTACCTGTTTTGTACTACATAGGCCCTAGAGGGGGTTAAGTAGTATAATAAGTTTCAAATGAAACAGAAGATGACATAGAGCTATTGAATAGGACAGGTCGCAAGCACGAGGTGCAAGTTGTAGGGTTGCTCACCGGCAATCTGATTTCCATTCTCATCTCGTGCGTAGGCAAAGAAGTAGGGCGATGCGATACGCTGCCTGGTTGGCTTCGACACCTTGTCTGCGCTATCGGCCAGCGGGATGATTGTCCTCTCAGCGACAATACGTACTCTCAGATCCCTTCTGTCGGGATTAAGCAGATCTCCCATATAGCCTTGCAGTTTTATCTCGCCTGTCTTTGCGTCCACAATGACCTTGTCCGCCAGCATGCTCACTGGGGCCGGCCGACCATCAGCGAACCTGGCTTCCAGGCCAAAGATTGTCCCGTCTAAGGAGGATGTTACATCTTCTCCGGTTCGAGTGTCTACAGATATGTGTACAGCAAAGTTGAATTTAATTAAGAGTCAAATATAGAAGTTTATATACGCATAGTAAATTGTATATGGCCTGCAACGAATGAAAATGTAGGAACTATTTAAAAAAGTTCTAATTACCAATGAGCCGGCCTCGGAGGACTACGTCTGATCCCCTGGTAGCGCCCAGGTTGTTCGTTTCGTCCAGTCCTTCGACTTCAACTTTGAAGTTCGTATTTGGATCACCAGATGGAACTAAGAGAAAAATGAAATGAACGAACAATTTCGTGAGTGGTTTGAAGTCGCTTCAACTGTTCAGAAATCGTAGGTAGCGCCTAAGTTACTGTAGTTCATTTGAATATCAATCACTGATTGACTTCATTTAGTCTCATTAAAATATATATAGGTAGATCTTCATGGAGAAGCCGAGTAAATTTAAACGAGGCGACGAGATTAGTAAGTTAAAACACTGCGCTGGCTACGTTTATGTTATCTTTGCTACATCCGCAACAGAAACTAATGTAGATGAACTCGTAAATTTAGTCAAGCAAACACATGCTTCCATTAGGTTCACTTTAGAGGTGAAAACGGCAGGTGCGTTTGCTTTCTTGGGCGTTCGCCTAGGTCGAAAACCTGATGGTAGCGTCTGAAGGAGCGTTAATCGATAGAAAACCTGCTCTGCACGATATAACAACCGAAGCAGCTTTGTACCCACCCGAAAGAAACGCAATCTAGTCGGCTGCTTAGCGCAAAGAGCTAGAAAAAAATTTTCGGCAAGCAGAATTAAGATGGAGCTTGAGGAAATGCAGGACCTGCTGCGTGAGAACAGGTTTCCTGCGCGATTTATCACAAAATATGTGGTGGCGAGAAAAGTAAAACCCACCACACTTGCTGTAGAGCAGAAAACGCTATTGCTAAATGTACATTTTCAAGGGAATGCGACAGCTGAGCTCCCGAAAAGACGCCTTGACCAAACCGTGTCGCGAACCTTCCCAACAGCGAGAGTTAGGGCATTATGCTCAACTAACCGGGTCTTGCACGATGAAGGTAAGGATAGGTTGCCAGCTCAGACTACTTCCATGTGCATGTATTCATTTACTTGTTCCTGTGACACCGGTTATATTGGTCGCAGGAGTCAGTGCCTATCCAAAAGAATAAAGAAATAACTCTCTGTCTAGCTGAGGAAAGGTGAAACCAGGAGTATAAACAGTGCTATCCTTGCGCACATTGCTGTCTGGACATCGCGTGGACCTAAACGAAGCCTTCCCGGGGATTTATAAAGTCCGACCAAACTACCTCAAGTCCTTGGGTTAGCGTATGCTAACAACAGCAGAAGTGACCACTATCAGGTTAAGTGAGCTGGCCTTGTGCGCAAAACAGAACCTCCTGCTAGCTCCATGCCTGGCATAACTGAAGGTAGCTTAACAGCATGCACGCTTTGGCGCTCTCTCCTCTCTCCCCATGGACCGGCTTCACTAAATTCTCACCTCACCAGCCATCCCTTATCTGTCCCTCCCCCTTCCCCCCACTTTATTGGTTGGAATCTTGTACGACCGCATTATGTCCGCCCGAGAGCTTCATATTGGAGCCAATCGTGATTCTAATCGGAACAGTGAGGGTGGTGCGCCTAGTTGACACGTTTATGCTATTTCTGTCGTCCCTCTTCTCTGCAACTACAAGTTGGCTGAATTCGGCCAGGTATTTGGTTGGTCTTTGTCCCCCGTACTGAGCTAGTTTGCTTTGGGAGGCTAATAGATCTATGTGCGCCTATTTCTATATATACCTACCGTAAATATTCCAGATAAAGGCAACGGAGGCCATATTGAACACTTTTGACTTGTTTTCAATCGTCAGACAGCCATATCTCAACGCCAAACTGAGTGGATTTTCGATATGAACCCACTACAGTGTGCCATTGATCCAGGTTATGGACTAACGCCCTTTCGGTTACGGTGCGGCATATGTGCAGCCTCAAGAAGGTATTCATTTATAATATACATGGAGTCAAGAGCGGAATGTCGACGTTCCATTTTGCCTGGCAGTTCTGGTTTAAAGCCGTCTTGGATGGTTGCAGAGACAGAAATGTTCGCTCCAGTCTCTGTGTCATTGTCGATATGGTTTCGATCACAAATCCCTCCCGCTATGTAATCCTCTGTGAGGGTTTTATAAGGGGCTTTAGGGCAAAATGGGATGCCAGTGTTTCATTTTGGAAGTATGATAAGGCGCCCAACGTCCCCCTAATATAGTGACAGACAGTTTGATCATAACCGATAGGACAACGGACAGGTGACTCAAAGGTAAAGCTTGGATTTAGTGACTTTCGATGAATAAAGAATATGGGTTCTAAGTTAGAATTCTGCAAACGTGTATGTAAGACTGGTTAACAACGGCTAATAGGCCAAAAATGACCATCTCAGTCAATATTGTCGTTTTTCGATATTTCCTTTGTACATGCTGAGATGGCCATAGGTACAACGACAAGCGACACCGAGGTGGTCATTTCTGGTCGTATATAAAAAACTAAGTACATTGTAGTGATCAATGCAGTAAAAAATACTTTACTCATTTGGATTTAACTTTGAAATATGCCTATAGTGGTATGCTCACCTGGAACTAACTCCTTAATTGTGGAGAAATCAGGCTTCTCTGAAGGCCTTGGACTTGGTTTAATTTCGAAATGGATAAACTCGCCCGATTGGCGATCTCCAGGGCTCAATACACCCTTGTCACCATCAGGAGCGCCAGGCGGAATGTCAACAGGCGCAGTGGTATTCAATATAATGCAACGGGCTCGTAATCCGTTAGCCGTCTCCCTCAGCCCTTCCAGACGGAGCTCCTCACCGTTTGGACCAGGCATTGTTTCCACCTTCTCAGCAAGTGCTGCGGTGTCGATGGGCGAATTGTCAGCCAAACTAATCTCCCACTTATATGTTAAGCCATTTATTGGTGAATTGGTCACCGCATCTAAATAAGAAAAGCACATATTTGTATACCGATCACATGAATAGTGACAGTTACTGCGACAAAATACGTAAATTGGTCGTGCCCACAAGCAAGGCAGACAGTCAGTTTGTTCAGGCATACTCTTTAATGAGAGGAGTTAAAAAGCGCCCTAGGATCCCGCAACTGGGCTTTATATATATGTATTCATATTCTGACATGAAAAACGTTCCTGTTAAATGGTATTGGTTACGTACCCGTGGCCTGGCATGTCAGAGTGATAGACTGTCCTTCGTCGGCTGCTACAATTTGGTTAGGAGCCCCAGTCACTTTAACCTTTGGTTTATCGTCTATAAAGGAAGATAAGGAAGATGATAAAGTATTGAATTAAATAGTACCACGTATCATGAACTTGAAAAAACAGCAATAAAACGTATGTACCATCGGCGTCAGACACATCTGTTATTCCGGGGACCTTCGATTTCCGAGGGTCGTCCTGCTTGGAAGGTCCAATAACAATAAATGGCTCGGAGGGTACTCCTGTCTCGTTGCCAGATTTGCTTTGTTGTACACATCGGCCCTCAATGACCTCGCCATCAGGAAGGTAGGCAGAAATATCGATGTCTGAACGGAGGCGGCTAAGCTCAATTGTGTCGCCTGAAGTGCTGACCTTTCCAAAAAGATGGCTAGGTAATACGACATCGCCGGAGGTCGTTTTGAATTCCCAGAGGAAGATGCTGTCCGCTGAAATGGACTCTCCTGTTTCCGTGTCTATGTGAGAAAGAGTACTTTGTTATTGATGCCAATTCGTTCCTGGACTGTTTAAATTGAGGTATCTTGATAAAACTACTGGTTAGGCTTTTATTACATAGTACGTATCAAGTGCAGAAGTTCGGAGGATTTCCATTGCTACTGACTTGAATAAAATGATCTCTCATAGAAATCGCATACTACTAGATTTATCGAATCGTAGCTAAATAATCGGCTGGAAAAAAGGTACTAAACCTCAAGTTTGTAACCGTTTAGAAGTGTAACACAGGCCTGACTGTTTGGGGATGCTCTCTACCTGGGAAACAAAAAAATCCAGCGAAATATTGTTTCATTGGAATCTTTCGCGAATTTCTTTGATGAATTGTTACACATACATGGAAAATGCATGTTGATGCGTGCCCAACAATAGGACAACATAAAATTTCAAATAGACGTCGTCCTTCAGCCACGTGGAGAAAGTGGCGTAGAGTTTAACACGCTTCAGTTATTCTGAGGCGGTCTACCTTACCAATAATTGTTTTAAAGATAGCAGTAACAGCAAGATTTATTGGATCCATAGCATTTCGAGAGAGCTCTTCAGTTGCTGCCTCTCATTGCGTAACGTGAATCACGTAAAAGAAAATTGTTTTGCCCTGTCGAAATATCTCACCGCAGGTCATTCGACGGGATTCAGTAGCGTCTGTAACTTCGATGCGAACGAAAACATCGAGAGAGGTGAGCATTGTGTTGGTCAGCAGTAGCTGGATTCATGGTTCTCGCATCCAAGCACCAAGCTTAACCCTCTCCTCTTCCCTATTTAACACGAGATTAATCAAACACAGTAATTGGTCACGTGGGGAGAGTGTAGATGAGAGTTGCTATAGAGGTCAGCATTAGGAAGCCAACTTGTCGATTAATTACCGCAACAATCACCAGTATCGAACAAAAATTGCGGCCATTAAGTGCCAGGACATGGGGACTAAACAGTGATCGTACCAGCTACGACAGTTGCAATGCAAATACAGCTGCTAGTTTTTTTAGAGTGAAGGTGGCGTACCAACTACTTTCTATAAATTATATCTCGCTCTTTCGCACCTTATATTTAGTTGATAGTTACCCTGATACGGTACTGGAGGGAATCGCAAACCTAAGGCGAATAAAGTCCTTTTTTCAACAATCGAGCCTCTAGTTTCTCGAAATCTGCACTGAAGATACTGCTTGTTAATCTTTTTTTAATAACTTAATTACCTAAGATTTTAAAAGCTCAGACGGATATATTGACTGTACCGATGTAGGGCTTTGTAATGGACCGTTTATTTTTGAGATTATACAGGAAAATTCGGGAGACTGCTGGAGAAGGTGTATGCAAAAGTGCGCCAGCTAGAACAACTGGTCAGTATAAACAGGGAGGCCAAACATGTGGGTCTAGTTCATCCTCTCCCTTGATAATTGCATGCTTCAAATAACAAACCATAGGTTACCCAAGGCAGGTCTTACTGTGAGCCTGGCAGCGGAACTTGAGGTCGTGTGTCGATCCAGTTGGCACTTCACCGACGCTCACCTTAGTGTCTGATTCTACAATGCAATACAGGTGATTATAGTAATGCTAATCAAAAAAAGAAGGAAGAGACAGGAAAGCATGCCAACAGTCTAACATACCTGATTTGCAGTCGGGCCCAATCTCGAAGAAATCACTATTGTAGATTGCTCTGTTTCCGGCCTTGCGACCAACCATACACCTGCCGAAAAATCGATCCTTAACTGGCAGCAACTGGCGGAGATGCAGTTTGTTTCCGACAACTTCCAAGGACTTGGCAACGTTGCCGGTAATCAGTACTGGCTTCCCGTCTGGGCGGATTACCTCCCAGCCGAAGATAAGATCATTTTCATCAGTTACGTCACCTACAAAATAAAATGCTCAAAAGTCACAGGGTCAAGCACAATAGTTATCAAGAAAAGTTTGCAAAGACTTACCCCTGACTTTACATCTGAGTGTAGCATCTCCGTCGACCTTTTGAGGAAGCGTTCGACATTTGCTAAGACCCAATACAACGGGCGTCAAATCCGGTAGGGCTTCAATGGGCTTCCGGGGATCTGAAACAGGAATCGTCAAGTTTATCTATTCGAAAAAATGTTGGCCTGGGCAGCAGCCTGCGAATAAAAAGTCTTTACCATGCACAGACGATCCATCCTCCTCGCTGCTAAGGCCAACGGTCACGAAAGGTGAGGCAAATCTTTGTCGGCTGGGTTTCCGCAGTGTGCCAATTTCCGGCTTTTCCTCTTCCCCTCCTGTCATTTCCGGAGACCAGGACATGCGTTCTGCAACGACTCTCAACTTGAGGCCCTTGGCCTCAGCTCCCAGTGCATCACCACGATAACCCGTCAAATTCAGTTCTCCTGTTTCGGCATTCATGTGCAAGTGTTCTGCGAGAGTGCTGATCGGAGCCGGTCGACCATCCGCATACTGCACCTCTACACCAAACAGAGTCCTTCCACTGGCGACATCATCCTTGACCTCTTCTCCCGTTTCTGGATCTGAAAGCAATCGTAAAGTCCACATTCACACATCCTGTTGGCCTGGGTTACTAACTGACAGAAGTTTAAGCCATCGACACCAATGAATACATTCGATAAGTTGAAGTTGTTTGCAGGGCGATAAGACATGGCTGGATCTAAGATGTGTCAAATTCCATGCTAGGTCATTCACCATGCAAGACACTCCAGGCACTACTTAATTCCGTATGAGCGCCTGTAAATTATCATGGGCAGATTAGTATTGTGCTAACTGTGGAAACGAAGGGAAAATTCTACTATGCTTAACTCACACAAGAGGGCACAACGCTTAAGTTTTGGTGTCCCCTTCCCAGTCTATTAGGCGGAGAAAAAGAACCAGCAACAATCCGTCAGAGCCAGCTCTAGCCTGGATAATTTTCTACTGTCTCAAAGGCATAATCCGAATGATTTTAGAAAGTCTCAACTCGTTTTATGCATCTATCATTAAAGCTAGTATTGGAACCTGCCAGGCCGTTACGCGCGAATTCGCTCAAGTCACGCCCGTATTTCGTTGCTTTTAGGATTTCCCCCCTTTTTACCGAGGGAAGATTGCACAAACGCACGTTCTGTAAGGGATGCTGCTTGAAAAATATTTTCAAGAGCTTGCATAGGAATACTACGGTGTTGCTTTTGCGACTGAAAAGCTCTTCTATGTCCGTTCGGAAAAAATCGGATCATTGTTGAACTACAGTACGCATTCCAACCAAGAAGCCAAAGATAATGTGGAGCGGTGTTCCTAATACTATGGTACTAAGAAATGCAGTAGTATGGGTATTTGGCATTACATTGTTTAATTAAATTTCAAGCTTATGAAAACTGCAAACGTACCTATGAGTCGACCCCGGAGGATGACGTTTGAACCTCGAGGAGCAGACAGCTGGCCAGATTCATCGAGTCCATCAATAACTACCGTGTACTTGCGTCGGGAATCTCCTTCGGACACTAAGGCAGAAATAAAAATAGGCTCCTTGAAGTGCAAAATAGATTTAATTTTTGGCGAATGAAGATAGGACAGAGGAACTTAACGCCAAACTACCGCAGTTATGTGCAGTTGAAGGCCCATTTTTAACTGCACGAGCCACCTCTTAAGCATGTGGCCACTGTAAGAGTACACTTTTTCGTCTGCCCTCAGATGCGAATGCGCAGCTAGACAGACCAGAATTTGCTGAACAGTCGACGAATGAGAACTAGATGCATCTCTAATCCCCAGGATCAGCCTTATGATGCCATCAACCCTTCTAAGCACGGTTTGTATGAAGAATATACGGCCAACACTTTATTTCTAAATGCGGCAGTCTGCTGACTAGAAATCCTTTTACATCCCTAGCTATCATCGCATAAGAGGCTAGCTTGAGGTATGAGCTGACTACACGCTTACTGCTCACCCAGGGGTTCTCCTTTCTTAGATGATAGAGGGACAATAATGTTCCACATACTCATAAGGAAGCGTTCTTCGCTAGATTAAGATGATTATAAGCACAATATATGTGGCAGATACTCGTAACTGGGGAAAATTTATGCAAAAATTAACCTTATATTCAGCTCAAATATTATAATTTTGTAGTAATGGGGTTCGTACATGAAATTGGGTAATATTTGCTCTTAAAACGAAGTTGTATGTGGTTGTTGATTCAGTACTTCCCTAAGCTATGCGTGGCGGTTCCTCTCGTCCACCTACTTTGGACCAATATACCTGAACAGATATAGCCAAACCAACTGCTATAAAGCCTTTTCAGTTTCCACTTTTGAAGAATTATGCATTCTGTCAGTGCCTTTTCCTAAAAGAATGATATCCGCTATGTGCTCCAGGCCGTAGTGTGACCAGGACGCTGAATTACGCCGAGTTTATTAAACTGTTGCGCAAAATAATGGACAATTTGGCTCTTAGATAATGCTAAATACGAAAGTCCTATTGTAAGCATCTTACCACAAACGTCAACGAACGTCTGCATGATGCTTTTATGAGGTAGCCTCCATCGATTTTACACAATATCATCGATATCAATAATGCCGATATTTCGGCAGCCAGCCAATGTTCATTTACGAATTTCGCAATGACGCGGAAGAACTAGGTTTAATTCTCGGTTATCCATAAGCCTCTAGTTTGAGGCAGACAAGTCGCCCGGCAATGTTTGTCCAATCGGACCCGGCAGTAGTGAACGGCTCACTGATAAAGGTTGATGCCGCTGTTGAGCCACAGATGCCATAAGTGTCGGCTACTTTCCTATAAAGTTGAATTCACTGGGAACTTGAAGCATTGTTTTCGAGGAATAAATTTGAAAAAGGCAAATGCGATAAGCTTCGCAAGATTTAACGACATCAAAGAATTTCGCGACACCTTATGCAGCTGCATAAGGTCATTGCGTATTAATAAGATAACATAAACTGTTCAATTAAGTATTGACCTAGAAGGCTGAAACGTGATAAGTAAATAAAGAATGAGTGGGTTTTTGAAATAAAGCCGCCATCTTTCCTGCTCTCCATTCACATGAAAATTTCTTAGATATGCATCGGTTGGGCCATTGCTCGCGTTAAAAACCGGTTTTTACCTCCCCCCATATAACAATGAGGTCATTAGCGCACGAAGTTAGCGCCGTTTTGAAGGAGGTCCAATTTTTCACGGGCGAGTTGTCATGATGTTGGTAATTGCAGTGTTCGGCCATTATGCATTGTTTGTGATCTCCCGGTGGCATGTGATTTGTGTGCTTAATTTTAGTCACAGTGAATGGAGGACCTTTGTGCTGGCGCGCTTTTCAATTTGAGCCACCATTTTCCCCCTCTCTCTACTCACATGTAATTTTTGTTATATGCACGTCGGTTGGCCTACTTCGCCCATTATAGACCGATTTTTTGCCCTCTTTGTTTACTTTAAATACAATGAGGTCATGAGGGCACAAGATCAAAACGCTAGCGCTGTTTCGAATGCAGTCCAATTTGGCCTATATTCTACGACTCCTTCTAGGACATCTATCCATGATGTCGAAAATCGCAGTCATTTTCGATTATGGATTACTTTTGATATCGCGGTGTTGTGAGTTTGTGCGTCTAATTTTATTCCTGTAGAACGGAGGACGTTTTTGTTGAAAAGGTTGGAAGGATGTTTTCAAAGTAAAGCGCATCTCTCTCTCCCTCGTTGTCACGAGTTGTTGGTCTTAGATGTGGCTGGGCGTGGTGTGGTGGAAGAGAAGGGGGGAGGCAGTTACCAAAGTGAGACAGTTCAAGTTACAGTGAAAGCCTGTCAGGCGTGATAAAAAGGGGGAGGCAACCTCCGGTCATACGGAGAAGGAGGGGGGGCGCTCATTGTCCCAGTTTTGAGCAGGCTTGACAGGTTTTCACTGTCTTGCTTCGATAGCGTCCCCCACCTCCTCCC